TTTAAAAGCAGACCAACATAAGCCCTTTGTGTTATAATCTTCCTCTTGACTTGTGTATGGTCTTATTCTCCAACACAGAGAAATTATTAATGCACATAATTATGTGATGTTTTCCCCCATTGATTTGACTACTAGATTGTGTGTTTAGAGGTTTTCCTGTTTTGTGGCTTTTACCTTTAAACTAAATCCTCCTGGCTGGAAGCAGCATTGGTCAGAATGCAGTTAGTACATCTGTTTCTTCTGCAAAGGTACACTCTGTTACCCAGATAATCCTGACTATCCCTTTATCACAAGAAAAAATAGAAAACAGGACAGGGGCAATCAGTCAGCTGCTGAGTGAACTGTCTTCTGTCTGCTAAGTAGACTTAGTTTTCTTCATTCTGGAAAGGGTGTTTGATGGCTGTCACCAACCCCAGCATTATTTTTGTAGCGCACAAGCTTATGTAGTTAGAAAATATGAGCAAGGCATGAGTCTTGGGATGAAAAGGTCCTCTTATGGGAACAAGTCACAGCTAGACACCACATTTGGAAATATTATAGCTTTTCTGGTTGCCACAGGCAAGAGGATCAATGAATAGAGATAATGGCGTCCTGTGAATTAGCACGTGCAAAGAAGTTCTGAGCTAGGAAAGGTGCTTTGGAACTTGGTCTGTCCCACCAATGAGACCAGTTCTGTATTAGAGGGACAAGTGTTGACCAGTGAGGCCAATTCTGTATCAGCGAGACAGTTGGTAATCAGTGAGTCCAGTTCTGTATCAGAGTGACAGCAAGTGACCAGTGAGTCCAGTTCTGTATCAGGACAGCCAGTGATCAGGGAGTCCTGCTCTTACCAGGACAGCCAGTGACTGCCACAGCTGTCTCTGTCTTCCCTCTGTGACCCCAGCCCTTCTCATTTTGACAGCAATCTGCCACCCTCTTCTCCCAGCACCATAGCTTGCTTCCTCTGTGCGCGAAGTTGAATCCAAATGGATTGGGGTGTCCATGTTTCCACGCTCCTGTTAGCGTCGTTCCTTGTAGGTGATGTCCAGTGAGAGAACAGTTATCTCTTTCTAAGAGCTTCATCTGCCCGCCAGCTGTTGTCCATTTTGCAAAAAATTCAGACCATGCCATGCTGCCAATCATTCTGAACTAGTGAGTCAGCATCACAAGCCCTCCCGCCCTCCCTTGTGAAAATGACCTGACTTTATTGACTATTTTGACTGGGCTGTGTTTCTCCTGGACACTACGTCAACCTACTTTCTCTTGTGATGTAGCACAAGTTCACTTCTCCCGGTTTTGGAAATAGGATAGCCGAGATCAATCAAGGTCTCAAAAGATTTTGTAAACAGTGGAAGCTTATTTCCTAGTTCAAAGATGTTTCTCTCTGTGTGTCCTCACATAGCACAGAGATGAGAATTTCTCTGGAAATGCTTACACAGACACTAATGCCGCCTACAAGGGATCTACCATAGACATGGTTGTGTTATCCGTGTATTGGTATTAGATTTCAACACATGAGTCATCTGAGTGCTTAAATATTCAGGCCATAGCAGCTCTCTATATTCTGTATATCTTGCCGTTATAACCCAGATTGGGTTTAAACCAAGCCACAGTAGCTGAACCATCTAGTTAATCTCGAGAGGCTTTTTTTTTTCATCATTTTTCAAATGTCACAGTTAGAAAATGCGACACTTGTTTGGAACGAACATGCCTAGAAGAAAGAGGCGGTCTGTATTAGTTTTCTTAGTAAGCATTCCAGGCATGGATAGCTCACTGGAAATAAGGGATATCATCTCAAAATGGACTGCGCTCTTATGTTGAGGTCTCAGTGTCATTCAGACCCATTTCTTTCGTGTGACCCTGGCTATTGAAACGGTAATCCTAGACAACAAAGAGGACCCTAGGAGAAGCATAAATTGATCCACTTAGGAAGGAGAAAAGACAAGATCTCCTGAATAAATTGGTAGCATGGGGGGCAGAGGTAGGGTAGAAGAGGAGAGGGGAGGAAGAAATGGGAGTGGGAAAAAATGTATAGCTCAATAAAAACAATTTCAAAATAGCACTAATAAAAATGAAAATTCTAGAGAAACCATCACCAAGTCTATAGGAGTTTAATAACAAAAAGATCTGTCTTTTCATCTCCTCTGGTACCTGTTCTCAAAGCTTTCCCAAGGCTCACCACGTTAGCATGTGGAACCAGTAGACATTTAATGAGTTGGTTATTAAGTTAAAGATAGTAACAGTTGTCACTGTGAGTACTAAAAAGCATAGACAGGCTTTTCAATATCACATTGCATCCTTCACCAACAGTATTTATGTCTTACAATGTGTCAACCACTATGTAGATGGTGGGCACACCTCCAAAAGGGTGATAGTAGCTGTACTGATAAGTACTGAGCCCTTACTGCCTATATCTTGCCTCGTACAGTTCTCGGATCAACTTCATAATTAAGTGTCTTTGCAATATTGAATCAAAGGCAAAGTAATGCTATTTAGACATACGGAATAATCTCAGGAAGTTCTCAGGTTGGACTACTTACTGTTAATGAATAGAGATAATGGCGTCCTGTGAATTAGCACGTGCAAAGAAGTTCTGAGCTAGGAAAGGTGCTTTGGAACTTGGTCTGTCCCACCAATGAGACCAGTTCTGTATTAGAGGGACAAGTGTTGACCAGTGAGGTCAATTCTGTATCAGCGAGACAGTTGGTAATCAGTGAGTCCAGTTCTGTATCAGCACTTATGGACTATTTACTGTTGTTTCCAAATGAGACAGACACAAGGATGTAACATCAAGGAATTCATACTCTGAACTAAGGAACTTGTCTATCCAGAAATCAATCAACTTAAAAATCTCAGGAGTGTGAAGGCCACAAAGAGTTTGCTACCATTCTGTTAATCTATGACTGATAGCCACGCCGGGTTGATGGATGACTTGGTTGGTGTGAACTTCCTCTATTTCCACCAGCAAAGCCTTTTGTCTTGTTCCCTGTGCCATCCTGCCATCCTCAGTCTATACTTTTGCCCCTTTCTGTTTTGTCTGTGTGCCCTTCCCTTTCTTGTTCCTGTGGGCTCTCTCCCACCTAGGCAATTATTAGAGATTACCAAATGCCACAGTGTAGCTTCAGTGGAGACCGTGGGAGGGAAGGAGACATGAGGTGTTGACAGAGGACTTGGTACAGGAGGGCTCCTTCCTTTCTGCTTCCCGGTATCTAATGGACTGGAGGAAAGCACGAGCCCACTGCTTGCCCAGTGTGCTGGGCTCCTTCCTTATTGCTTTCTGGCACTCCAGGCCTGCAGCGCTCCAAAAGTACATCCTTGCCACTCCGTTGTTGTTCATCTAATTCTTCCGTGATTAACAACTCAGTTCATCATGCTTCCAGCTCACATTAATCATCTTTTTCTGTGAGTTTGGTAACATTTGGAGTCATTTCCCTAGGAATTTATCCATCTGGGATCTCTATAAAAGAGATGTTTGCACAAGACTGTCTGATGCTCACTGCTGAGACTGAAGGTGCTTATTGTTCCCAGCATCCTGAAAGGATGCTCCTGAAGTCAGCTGTGGTTCCTTCACCATTCAGGGCCCATCAGTTGAACTCCACGAGGTTCCCAACATGGATCAAGACCCAAAGAGGTTTTGGCTACAATTTAATAGTAATGACCATCTCTAAAAGCAGCACTCTGTGGAGCCTGCCTGTACTTCTGGACAGATGGGAGTGGAGGGAGCTGTGGGGGGCAGTGGGAAGAGGGGGGAGATGGATGAGTCAGAGCAATCCTTGGCAGGATTCCTGACTTTACACCTACACACTATTTGACCTTAGACAAGACACATAATCTCACTAAGATCCATTCACTCCTTCTGCGAGGTAGGTTCTGAATGTCGGCAAGTATTCTTTCCTCTGCTCTCTGCTGTTGAGGGAACGCTACAATATTGTTAGTGATGTCCAGTTTTGCAATTCCCACACTTCTTTCCAAAACTAACAAGGTGTGGTCTGTGTGTATGTGTGTATGTACATGTAACATATATATTACTTACACGAATGAGAAAAAATCTATGGGGGAATTTCCACAGCTGCTTCTAACAATAACATATTTGTTTATGCACACACAGTATATACACATATATAACAGTATATATAAATGATATGTATATGAATAATTTATATAGTGTGTATGTATGTGTGTATTATGGGCAAGCATCAGTGAAAGAACAAGTAGCCTATTGGGCATGTCCTAGAAGTCAGTATATCTTAATTATCTCTCTCTCTCTCTCTCTCTCTCTCTCTCTCTCTCTCTCTCTCTCTCTCTTTTTATAAAAAAGCATTACAGCAATGTGCCTTGTTTGAGTTGGGTAGAGGATATGTTGCTTAGGAAACAGACAGAGAACCCTTTGGGATTCAGTTGTGAGCATCCCCCCCAGGTACTGTGAAGTTTCCAGAGCTCAGAAAGAAAGCAGTTCTTGGGGAAGCTCTTGATTTGCCCCCCAATGTCCAGCAGTGAAGGTCAGAGACATCCATCCACTTCTTAACGTAAGTCAGATGTTTCTTTAGAGACAATATTCTAAATTGAGTATCTTCTCAAAGCCCATGGCAGGCGTTTTTGTCTATGATCATTAGCCTTCAAATACAGGTATCCATCCTTGTTGCTGCCCAAGAGAAGGACTGAATTGCATAACGCCTCTGTTACTGGAGGAAGAGTAAAAACGGGATTAAATTTTATGGCCATAGAAAGGTCTGGGAGTGGAGAAGAAGAGGTGGGAGAAGTTTGTTCTAATTCTGCCCTGGCTGAAAGCAAGGTCATAGGATGTGGAAATGTTGATCTCTATTCAGAGTCTTTTCCAATCTCTGGGGATTTCAGCAGGAGATTCCCATTACACAGGAAACCTCCAGTGACTTTGACGGAAATTACCTGCCTAACTCACCTTCCTGCCGCGGTAGAAAGCCAAACACCTGAGGGCACCTTTTAATTGCCAACACACCTCTCCTTCCAGAGAAGCTAATTGCATCTGCTTCCCTTTCTTTTAGGTTTCCAAGCAAGGACAGGAATGATGAAGGCTGTGCGCTAACTGCAGACTTTTGAGCCGCTCAGGAAGGAAATCCGGAGTGTGGTCAGAACAGTTGCAACCCGTGGAGTCAATGAGGAATGGACTCGTGATTATGCTGAGATTCCAGCATGAATCTGGTCGACCTGTGGCTATCCCGTTCCCTCTCCATGTGTCTCCTCCTCCAGAGCTTTGTTCTGATGATACTGTGTTTTCACTCCGCCAGTATGTGTCCCAAAGGCTGCCTTTGCTCTTCCTCTGGCGGTTTAAATGTCACCTGTAGCAACGCAAACCTCAAGGAAATACCCAGAGATCTCCCTCCTGAAACAGTTTTGCTGTATCTGGACTCCAATCAGATCACATCGATCCCCAATGAGATTTTTAAGGACCTCCACCAACTGAGGGTTCTCAACCTGTCCAAAAACGGCATCGAGTTTATCGATGAACATGCGTTCAAGGGAGTAGCAGAAACCTTGCAGACCCTGGACCTCTCGGACAACAGGATTCAAAGCGTGCACAAAAATGCCTTCAATAATCTGAAGGCTAGGGCCAGAATCGCCAACAACCCTTGGCACTGTGACTGCACCCTCCAGCAAGTCCTGAGGAGCATGGCATCCAATCACGAGACAGCACACAACGTAATTTGCAAGACTTCCGTGTTGGACGAGCACGCCGGGAGACCGTTCCTCAACGCTGCCAACGACGCTGACCTTTGTAACCTCCCGAAAAAGACCACTGACTATGCCATGCTCGTCACCATGTTTGGCTGGTTCACCATGGTGATCTCGTACGTGGTGTATTACGTGAGGCAGAATCAGGAGGACGCCCGGAGACACCTTGAATACTTGAAATCCCTGCCAAGCAGGCAAAAGAAGGCGGATGAGCCCGATGACATTAGCACTGTGGTATAACGGCCACGCTGACTGGCGCTGGGAAAGTAGCTTCTGGTTGTAGTAGAATAAGTGGTTCACTTCTCCCTTCATTGTACACGATTAAAAAAAAAAACTTTGTATTTTAGTTTCTTTGGAATCCCGCCACTGTTGAACTTTTCGCGAACTCTGCACCACCGATAATTTTAGTTTAGGTGATCTTCCCCCCATCAATTGTGCCCTTGGTCCTGAATAACAAGCTCTCTGAACGTTAGTCAGACCCATCTCACTATTTAATAATGAAATTTATTTTTTTAATTTAAAACTGAATAAAAGCTTAACTTTGAACCGTGGAAAGCAGTGTGACTTATTGGTTAAGAAACAATGTCGTCCGGCCACTTGCTTTAACGAGAGAAAGCCAACCCTTCCTCTCCATCCCCTGCTACTTCAAGGGACTGTTCTAGCGAAAGGTGTATCCTTACAAGCTCTGCGGCACCCTGGGGCGCCAGAGCTGAATTATTGACCAGTTAAGTGTCTGCCAGACTTTAGCTAGCCAAGATGATTATACAAATGTGTTTTCCCCCAGACTGGGTATGTTAGGATGCCTGCTGACTAGCATCTGATTTTCAAAATGAGTAGGTTTCGCAAGAAAGAAACAAATCCTTGCTTCTACTCTCTGCTGGACGCCATGAGAAAGCAAAAACACTGGCCTGTATCTTATCGTCAAGACTGCCTTCTGGTGGGTAGGCATGAGTGGTGGGCACAGAAATAGCTTTGTTAGAAGAGGAAGAGCGCACCAGCTCTGTGGGAGCCACTGTGTGGGCACAGTAATACCACTCATGTCTCTAACCTATCACCAACAGAGAAAGTGACCATCGGCCTGGGCATAGAACACATAGATCCAGCCCCCTGCCAGGTAGAGACCATTGCAGCTTGGGTTTGAACCAGGTCTTCTCTGAACAGAGGTCTTCTCATCGACAGTTCTTCTGTGTTGAGTTACACACACAGAATGGGCGCGATAGAAACACGCTAACAGGAAGTTGCATGAGTTTTGTCATCGGATGTAATTGTATGCAGTCTGCCACACAGAGGAGATAATATGTCCCAGCTGTGGGTAGACACACCAGAAGCACATTTGGCTCCAGGAGTGGGTACTGATAGGCTTGTTTATTTGTTTGTTTTAGGGTGGATGCATTCAGGTAAGCATGAAGGACCAAAAATAGGGACACATAGGAGCGAAGGTAAGGAGCTGTTCCCAGTGACGGGTTCTCTGTGGAGAGTGAGACACAAGTCCAGACCCTTCGGTGACTTTAAACTGGAGAATAGCCATCGTCTGTCATCACACACCAGTTATGAGAGGAACACTTACTTTGCACCAAATAGCAATATTAACTGATGCTTGCAAGACCCTGTGAGATAGGATTGGAGTTACGTAACAGATTCAGGAGCCCAGCACTTGTAAGAAACTGCATACCCCTGCTCATGACTCATACACGGACACCTGTAGCCTCCGGACCACTCCTGTCTGCCATTCTGTCATAGACTCAGCTTCCTTCACAGGGTGGCTGGCTCATCTGCCACATGAGATTACAAATACCTACATGACAATCCATTTAAAAACAGATGGGAATTGCTCTGTGTATGGCCCGTGTATGAAAGAGGGTTAGCATGCTCTTGTGAGCCACGTGGCCTTATCCAGCCCACACAAGATTGTCTGAAGGGTGTCAACACTCACAGTTCTACCTCCATAAAGCCCTGAAGGTCTGACTGTGACCATAGTCTTGTTGGAAGGACCGCTGAAGAAATCGGCAGTCCCCTCGAAGCACACTGGTCCTTTTGTGCCCACAGCCACTTTAACCATTCCAAGATGCATTAGTCTAGCCCCAAATAAAGAAATAAATAACTCTCCGATGTGAAATTTGTGTTAGGGCCTAGAACTTCTGCACCCAGGTGTTTGAAGTCTGATGATGACCTGCCTTGGATCCGGATGGAAGAGCCAGTAGGAGGAGTCAGAGCCGTCCTGAAGGTACAGCGCCCCCTGGAGGATAGTTCTGTAATACACTGCAAACACTACATGGGAAAAAGACGCCTTCTACTAAAGATTAGCTTTAAACATTAAAGTGTGTTTACTTGAATGTATGAGTCACATTCATTGTGGAAAATCTTCCACAGATAGATTAGATAATCCATCCCAGGTCACTCCGTCCACATCTTTATGTCCTTACTAATGACAGCTTATTTTCCTCATGGCCAATCCATTAATCCAATGGATGTTCTCAAAAATGGAGGGTCTCTGAGGATTTGGTGAGAATAATCATATCCTTGTTAAGTACCCACACACTTAGTTTATAACTCTCCAAGTGGAGCTGAGAGACACGCCACAGTTTCCAGAACTCCCTCACTAATTCTGTCTGTAGATTATCCGGTTACAGGGTCTTCGGTGATTCAAGAAGGCAAACATTAATTTAGGTTGCCATGAATTGAATGGAAGTTTATTAGATAATAAAAATCAAATAAAAGTAATTAAAGTAGCGGATTAGCATGTCTATTTGTGACCACAACAGAAGGGAAATGATCTAATTGCCAGAGTGTAGGACTATCTACCCACGAGGCCAACGATGTACTGAGCCGCTCAGTGGAAGAATCTGTTAAGCAAGAGCCTACAGTCTCGGTCTAGATTGATGCCTCGTTTCCCACCCCTCTGTGGGAGTTTCTGTTCACGATGAACCACAGGAAGAATTTAGAAATTGCCTACCTTCCTATTGTCCTAGGCACACCGCAGTTCAATACTTCAATACTTGAAGTGGCAGTACCTTTTCTCAGTCTGTGTTTTTTCTCTCAACCTCCACCTTTTGGATTAAAAAAAGAGAAAAATAAATAAAAAGATGCCCTTGGGGAATTTTCATCTAATCTTTGACAATGTGTTTATCTCTGAAGCAGAGCAAAGAGTAAAACAAGCCAACTCAACTAGAACACGTTTAAAAGTGATAAAAAAAAAATAAAAGCTTACATAAGGGAAGATTGAACTTCCATGAACACTTGGACAAACTGCAGCCACTGCCGTAGCCTGAGCAGTGTGAGTGCTGTGCCGCTGTGCTTTTTCTTGTCTGTCCCTGATCCTCCTCAGTAATCCTTGATCTGATGTCACCAAGCATATGGCAGTCTGGGCCATGCGTGAGGCTTTCTTATTGAGTCTTCCACACAGCTAGTTCTCTCAGTCTGTTGACAGAGAGACAGGATGGAAAATTGACTTATCACTGCTCAGTTCCTGAAGGCCGATGCATTCCTACAGCATCGGGATTGAGAGTCCTTGGAATAGTCCCATCTACTCACTTTTGAAGCTAAATGCATATAAGGGGGGGAGAGGGATGCAAGTCAAATAAACTGAACGCATATGGGGGTGGGGGAGAAACGCGAGTCAAATAATTCCAAACTGACTAGGCAAAGAGTTTTTTTATTAAAGGGGAAAACCCACAAAACAGGAATGGGGTCTAACCTCAAGGAGTGGAGCATGGGAAGAAGAGAGGGGAGAGCTGGGCTGGACCACGGCCTTTTGGGAACCCAAAAGTCATGCTCCAACCTGGTCCAGCCTCCCAAAGGCCCTTGGCTGAAGGAGGTTCCCAATCACACTTCACAGGTACAGACACTGGAGCTTAGAGGTATGCCACATTTGTCTCTAAGTTTCCTGTAGGTCACTAACTGCCCTCCCGGTGAGTTCTACCCCAGTCACCGAAGGCAGACCGTGAACATCCTACCAGCACGCACAGGGAAACGTCACTGGATGCTGCTAGCAAATGTTTTGGAGGCTTCCTACATTTTTGTGAACCAAAGGCTACCCATGATTCTGAAATTTTCACTGCTCCTTCAAGATCAGGCGGCAGCAACTGCTTGCTTGTACAAGTAGCTCCAGGATAACATATTTAAAAGTGTTCATGACCTGACCTCTCAAATGGGGAGAAATGATGCTGGGACAATGTCCCAGAAAAAGAGAAAGGAGTCACATTTATTTCCTTGAGCAAAACCACAAGAGATCACAGGCAGCCAAGCTGGCAAGACAAGGCCCGTTCTCCATGCCCTTTACTCAGGGCTCTTGTCTGCCTGGCTTCCCAAAGGGGTGTCACTAGTTCATTCAATTGGCTGGTTCTGACCAGAAAATGGAAGCAAGATGTATGTGATTAGTTTTGCTTTTAGTTATGTGGGTTTGACATACGCTAGGATCATCTGAGGGGAGGGAACTTCACCTGGGAATATGCCTCCATTAGATTGACCTGTTGGCATTCTTCAGAGCAATCTCTTGATGAATGAGTGAGGCCAGGTGCTGTGGGCAGTGGCATCCCTGGGCAGGTGGTCCTAGGTTTCATAAGAAATCAAACCGACAAAATTCTGATGACCAAGATAGTAAGCGCTGCCCCTTCAGGGCATCTTCTTCAGTTTCTGCCTCCGGGTTCTTGCTTGAATTCCTGTCCTGACATACATCGGTGATGGAATGTAATCTGAGATGTAGCAGCCATTAAACCCTTTCTTCCCCAGCTTCCTTCTGCTCATGATGTTTGGGTAATAGAGAGCAAACTAAGACAGGCGGCAACCTCAATTCCCACACATCTATAAATCCATCTAATGAAATAGAACTCAGTGAAGGAAGATCTGCCTGCATTCTGCATTCTGCATTTTCCCACTCATGTGGTGGTCCAGCCAGGGCCCAAGATATTTTCCCCTCGGCTCATGAAAATGATTATTTTGAGTCTACAGCATAAAGAGAGAGTTCTATGGTTTCCTGAGTGATGACAATAAAGAGAAAAATCATTGACATGCATTAGTGGAACTCTTGATCTATATCTATCTATTAATTATCTATCCAACTCTCTCCTCTCTCTTTTTCCCCTCTCTTCCTCCCTCCTTTCATCTCTTCCTTTCTATGCTCATAGTTGTACAACTGAGTTCCAAAGGCCAGGGAAAGAATTGATGAGACACTGGAGGAGAATCACCTAACAGCAACTCTGCCAAGGATTGCTTGAGATTGAATTTCTGGGAAGATTTGTAAAAGTATTTTTAAAGCAGTCCCCAAGTTTAGTGCAGACAATAAATTAATGAACTTTGTGGCTTATGCTCCTTCCAAGCCTGCCAAGTGTTCTGCAACTTACTATTTAAAGAAGAAAGTCAGTGTGCTTCTTTTCTCTTGTACATATGCAGATGGCTGAATGGCAGACAGTCTCTGGATCTTACCTAAGAAGCTGCCATGAACAACACACTGCAGCTCATTTTGGGGTTCAGACTAAAACCTTATGTTTTCTTATATAAGTGTTTGTTTTGCTTTTTGCTTGAAGAGTTTATAAAATAAGAGGGCAGTC